CCCATATAAAATGCATATATACACTACAAAACACCTCTTCAACTTACAAAATGCGCGGTCTTTTTCATTTCAGGAAAACGGCTGAGCTTGCTTCTAGAGTAACCCGGCGTCCTTCCGGGTACGGGTCGCTCCACTCCGTCCCTCGAGCTGGGGTCAACACTCACTAACGCCTTCTCCTCCAACACCGGCAGACGACCTCCCGTCAACTACAAATTCAATATCATTTGTTAAAGAAATCTGTCTTTGCCTGTTTATCTGCGGAGGTAGGGGGGAGACGTAACCAAAAGTTCTGCATCAAACCCTTAAGAAGTCCCGTGAGAACCAAAACTATTTAAATTCTGAAACGTATTCCTACTCCAAACAAGCAGAATTGGAGCTAGGTGTTGCTATGCATTAGGAATAGGCCTAGGTGATGGATCTTACATATATCATCGTTGTATTTAACATTGGATTCGTTTAATACCATTTGGCTATGTTAAGAAGCGTAAATGAGACTAGGCATTGAGTATAAAAGAAAAAAGAAAATCTTACTCTCAAGGAGTCCTCGTACTCCGTCATTGCACGCCTAAGTGCAGTCGGCATTGTGTATGACCTGTGCCTCTTCTTCCCCGTGTAAATCTTTGGGGCTGAAAATAGTTAATAATATGTTATATTAAAATAGTCAAATTTATGTCAAGGATTCGTACCTTTTGGCTAAATGCTCCCCCTCGCCCCCAGTAAACACCTTGGACTGCCCAAAGGGTTTAACACCCCGTTTCACGATAGGGACTGATCATGAGGGTCAGTGCTGTGATGACCAATACCTTTTTAATTTGGGCAGGGGCCCAGGAAGCTGCATCCCCCTCCGCCCCCACCCCCACCCACCCCACACCGCATTCCCACCTTATTTATCCCCGATGTGACTCTGAAATCACTTTGATCCCAAAATAACAGTGCAGGCGTTAGGCGAAGCAGCTTGGGAAAGCATTACGATAGCGATAAGTTTATAGCGTAAGTTCGTTATAGCAAAGGTGCCTCTACTACTGAGTGTTTTTAACGCTTTAAGCAAAAGTGGCTACTGCATTATACTTGAAATGATGAACTTGTGAATAAAAGCATTAGCAGACATGCTATAATTGAGCAAAAACCAAACTGAAAGTAATTTCAGTTAGCTTTTACATGAAAAGGCGAACAAAAATTCAGGTAACAATAATAAAGCATTAACCTTAAGGAACTGTATGTTTGAATATGCGTTGAAAAGCAATGTCATTGTTTTGAAAATAAGCAACTTAAGTGTTAGGCAAATTAAGCTCCAAGTTATCCGAAAATTTAGCAAATAAATTTTCATGCAGTTAAACATAAAGCAAACAAAATATAAGCAGTTGAACTAAGCATAAACTAAAACGTATTTTAAAGCAACTAAAATATATTGCAACTGAACTGAACATCAACTAACACGAAGCAACTAAAATGCGTTAATGAAATAAAAGCAAAAGCAAAAAAAGCGTGCACATACCAGCAATAGCCCCAGACAAGCTCAGAATACCTTGCTCGGCGGTTCCTAATTTTGGTAATCGCATTGTGAGATCGTCCATAGTTTTACTGCGTTTGTGGAGTTTGAGTCCTTGGGCACCGTTGAGTTCTTTCATCACTTGACATGTGCCCTGAAATAAGGAACACAATGGGCATCTCAACCGGAACAGCTAACACATTTCTGAGAGCAACCAACACAAACTACTTAAAACTAGCATGTTAAAATATATTGTTGCCGGCCATATACATATGTGAAACCCAGTATTCAAAAATACATTGAAGAATGTATATGAACACACACACACACACACACACACACACACACAATTTCTGCAAGTTCATCCCATATGATTTTCAATCTTCTGCGTGTTACAGTGTGTACTACTGAAAACCTTTACTTTTTGAAGTACATTGCAAATGAAGTACATTTTAAGTACAAATTATAATAAGCCCTTGTGAGGATTTCTATAAAACGCACTGTACTTACCGATTTTATGATATATATCCAGTCGGACTGGGAACTGTCCTGGACTATGACTTCACCACGTCTAAATAAAAAGTAATGCATACATTTTAATGTTAAAACAACATGGCTTGTCCGCCATAATTTTCATCATTTCTTAAATTTTTCATTAATTCTATTTTTTGACCCTAGGTCTGTAAACAAAGTCAGTCTTAAATAGGCAAGACACTTCTGTTTATCTGAGATAAGGTTTAGCTAAAACGAAGATGCAATACATAAACCAATGTAATTCAGAACTGAACGCGTAAAGATTCTTGGGGCTATTGCGGTAGTTTTTCCCAGTGACGGTAACCATAGCAATCACAATAAACCTACTTGAAGAAATGAAGCAGACAAACTTCAGGGTTCTCCAGTATTTTCTCCATTGGAAAGTCCTTTGCGAATTCAAGTTGACTGAAACGAAAAGTAGTTACGGATAAAATAAAAGTTACTGTAGAACATCATTTGAATTTGAAAGCATAAGATTTTATTTCAGAAAAGAAAAAAAAGAACATATATTTAAATCGGCAATGGTAGGAATAAGGGAAAGTGAATATCGGACTTTTAGAACAGGGGCCACGTGAAAATAATAGAGAGAAAACGGATGAAGGAACCAATCAAGTGTCTTACCTAAGGAATTTCAGGTGTTCAGGCAGTTCCCCGGGGTTAGCACTTTGGCCCATAAAGATATCGAAGAAGTCGTCCCGTCCAATGGTCAGTAGCTGGACAGTGTCTTGGCTGACCACTGTGGCATTGCGGAGTTGGTGGTGAAGGAGGGCTAGTTCCTGTAAATTGAAATTATAGTTAGTCAATATCTTAAGGTGTGTGTGCATGGGGAATGTGCTGGACCGAAAATCGGCCTTTAACGCGTCGTGAGATTTTCGAAAACAAAACAAAAATTAATTAATAAAAACAAATGTATGAATGCAGTCATATATGTCTTGCCCTAGAGATGAAAGGGATGTATTATTTTAGAAACAATGTATTGTTTTAGAATGGGTGTTCTTTGTTATCCAGTTGTGACGGGTTTTGGGCTGATATCCGGTTTTTGGTAACACAGTCTGAACACAACTTTGCAGTTATGTTACATTGTGTCAGTAGCATGTTTAGAATATTCTAAGATAACCCCAAGTATAATACAGAGGTCTCTAACATAACAGACCCCAGAGTCAAATCCCGATGCAAAACGTGCTTTTGGTGATATCATTATATCATTTTAGATATTCTTATTCACTTTTAATAGTGTGCTGCAGCCTATCCCATCTTGATACATAAATGCCTGTTTTTTTCTATGCTGTACATTAACACCTTTTTTAAACCAGATGTACAGTTTCACGACCTGTATGTCACAAAATTTAGTATTAACTCTAAAAAAATTAGCTGCGGTAAATAGCACCCAAATCCCCTGAGTTTCAGAGCCTTATCAACGACTTAGACTCTTCAAAATACCCGTCATTTTAACTATAAGCCTACCTACAGGGGGAAGGAGCACGTATGCGGCCGTGTTTTTTTAAAGAAGAGTTATCGTAACGAGTGTTCAACGCAGGAGTTAAATAACTATCCATTGTGTAGATTTTTTCTTATGGATTTCAGTGACATAAAAGCACGCATCATTTATCCACGCGTGACATCTTGACCGTGAGGACTGGCACGTAGGCAAATTAAACATGTCCTAGTTTTTTACTATTATAAAGGCTAGATTACGTAATGTTATAACGTCCTCGTTTTGCACGCTGTCAAGTCGAATCGTACATGCTGGGTGAGTAAGAAAACCAGAACACGCTGAAATTTCGAGTGAAAGAGTAAACATGTTTGCAGTCTTTTGTGAATTAAAAAAAAACACAAGGGCATTCTTTGAAAGATCGGAGACGCGTATTCGACAGTTACAAAGGTTAAAATGGGTAACGTTTATAGTGAACAGGATCTTAAAACATTTATATTTTATATGAATGTTTTTATATTTGTATTTGAGTACTTTGTGTAGCTACAACTAGGCTGTATTACAAAGATTTCTGTACAACCCCTTTCGTATACTCCTATCTCAATACACTTGCTACCCTGATCTTGGTTTCCCTATTAAAAATAAACGGGTTATATTTTTCGCTTGCTCCATACGAGGTGCACATACAGATGTGCATAGTCAAACTTATAAAAAAATTTGGATCCTTAGATAATGTACTAACCCCCCACACCTCTGGGAATTAACTCTTACCTAATATTGGTTGTATTAGAGTATAGTAGCTGAGAAACGGGCCGTAATCCTCAAGAAACCCCGTCTCTCTCTCTCTCTCTCTCTCTCTCTCTCTCTCTCTCACCAAAATCAACATTGTTTTACAACCTGTCCATGCCCGACGTAGATATCCCAAAATGAGTTAAAATTACATAAAAATTGACTGTACGTATGAGTGAATAGCGAACGATTCATCTCTTACCTTTACAAACTTACGCAGTGCTGCCAAATCTACGCCTGACATCTCGTCTATAGTGATAATACTCGAGCTCCTTACGACGGTGTTTAATGTTTTAATATTTGTGAAGATCCTTGTAGCTTAAACTACAGCACATGCTCGCGCCCTCCCTCACACCGGAGTCTCATAATTCCTGTTCAGATCTCTCAAATATAGTAGTCTGTGGTAATAGGATGTCAAAAATAAATTAAACTTATATATGGTCTTCTGCCACCTCAATAATATATAGTAATTACGACAACAGATGTAGAGCTCTGTTGTTACGTGAACTAAACGAAACGTGCCTCTTCAATGTAAAGACGTGGACCGATTTTTTTCCTTCTACACAACAGCAAAAAAAAAAAATCACTCCTACTTGCCGAGAAGCCAAATTTGAGATCCTGGTGCAGTGTTTTTTATGCTGGAGCTCTAATTATATCCAGCATAAACAACAATCCCGTCACCAAGGTGATTTTCTGCTAAACTTAACCGTAAATGCCCTACGTGACACCTGGAAGGACGGGTGGTGTTGAAAACCACCCCTTTTTCTAGACCACACTTTTTACAAACCACACATCCATTTTATTTCTATTGTTTATTTCTGTGGTTGAATAGTCCTTATTCTTCTTCGCACAATCGTTATTTTTCATCCCTTGGTCCCGTTCGTATCCAAGTCCAAGAAAATAGTTGTAAAAGTTGTCGGTCACGGCGTGAAACTCGTACTCTCCTCTACCAAGGAATTATATCAAATATAATTCCTTGTCTATGCAGAGTAAATTTGTTTACTAATTTTCCAGTTTATTTATTATTTTACGCTCACCATTAATTCGTGGCTTAAATGCTGCTTGACAAATATATCTGCTAAGAGTTCGCAAAATGAGAATAAAGCTTTTTTGAAACTGATGGGGTTTTTGCTGGACTTAAAAGTATTTCAGAAGAATACGGTCGATACTACATGTAGTTATCTAAGAACTATGGGTTGTAACCTTAAGAATTATCAAACTTCAGTTTTGGCATGAAAAAATAAATAGATGGACTGACAGTGGGCCCTATGGCTTAATCACTACGGATACCATAATGCATATGTAATAATTTATGATAGGCTTATACTGTACTAAGGCATGTAAAAGAGACTGGTCCATATTGTCTGTCGTTTTTTTTTTTTTTTTTTTTTTTTTTTTTTTTTCGCAAGATAATTCAATACATCCGCTTTGAAAAGAGGATTGGTTATGAGACCAATTAATATAGCATTTGTCCCTCTCCCTCTGAAGTCGGTGAGAAAAAACCTTGCGCCGTCTGCATGTTATTTCCCATTTGGGTTAGTATTGAATCTAATCGCTCGAATACTGCAGCCACAGAAAGTTTCAAACAGAATTTACGGGGGGTTACAAATAAACACGTTATTTGAGTGTAATGTGTGTCTAGTACTTCAAAGTCAATTAAATCAGCTGCATTAAAAGTGGCATACATTTCAGGGCAAAATAATTTGACCAGCCAAAAATGTGTGTTAGATGAATCGTTAAAAAAAAGGATCTCTATTTCTTTATACATTCCTGAATATACCACTGTAACAAGGAGTCGGAAGGGTCTAAAGGCTTGGGGTGTAAAACTCGATTTAAACATACATCTAATGCGGTTAATGAATAAATTTCATTTCGTCTCACTTATATCTTAAGGAAGTATATTCTGTAAAAGGGAATAATTTACAACCTCCTACTACAGGTTCTGCCACTTTCCTAACGTAAACCCCCACCCCCGTCCTAACGTGCCCCCCCCCCCTCCCGTCACGATTTTTTAATGCATTAATCAACTTAACTTAAGCGTCTGTATTTGACCGGCAGGAGAATGGCATCTCTTTCCAAGCCACTGGATGCAGCCCTTAATTGAGTCAGAAGTAAATATTTACATATGAACTGGAAATTCGCTAGCTGTCATCGTATGGCAGATGACTGCGAACATTATGAAATCTAATTATGAAAAATGGACGGAAGGAAAACGTGGTGTGGCAGTTCACATAAACCATTTTTAAACCTGGAAGGCAATAAATGAGTTTTTGTAAACATCCAACTGAAAACGTGGTGGAGTGAGATTAATGCATTGGACCACCGAGGACAGACGGCAACGAACATTAAAAAATTTGGTGAATAATGGCCAGAAAAGAAAAGAGGCGTAAACACTAAGTGTGCACATGCTTAAGTAATTTTTCATGATGTTCAAAAAAAAAAATAAATAAATGAAAAATTTCTTGTAAGATTTATGGCGGTCACGCTCCGAACCGTACAACCCGAACCTGGGTTTTTCTAAGGGGAAGGTTTAAACGTAGTTGATTAGTGTAAACCTGGCGCAAGCCTGGTTTGGCACATACATGTCGATTTGATATTTGGAAGACAAAGGCACGAGATGCAAATCTAACGCTGAAGTTTTTTCCCTATGAACTCGGGTCGAATCGCGTTGACAAAAGCAAACGTCCCTTAGATTTTTTATTCACCGGATTTATTTACAACAAGCATAATATCTTTCAACAGCATAATTGTACTTTGGCCTAATACAGCTGCCCTACACTCTAGGGTCCGCTAGTAGTCTGTTACAACATTACCCTATACTTTGACTTTGTATACTATTTTAGAGGCCCCTGATCAAAGGGCACAGTTACTCGTGAATCATGCCCACTAGAAGTGCCACCTTCTAAGAGCAATGGATTCCCAGAGATTTAGATCTATCCATCCGGATCGACCTAATTCCCTGCGGGTCACGCTAAATTGCAGTCAGCCAAGCGCACACGACAGTTAATTACCCCCTTACAGCTTTTAATAGGCGGGGCAGACATTTAAGCCGGCTAAGCCGACAATAATCTAGTGAGACTCCCCACGGGGATAGATCGATCTAAAATCTGTGGGAATGGGGTCTAAGGGACCATTCCCAGACTCTATCGCACTAACTGCTATCTATCTCCAAGGGGATTCTGGCTAAATTGCATTCAACTTAAACGACTTAAATGTCTGTCACGCCTGTTGAAGCTGCTAGGGGCAATTAATTATCGTTTGACAGCTTCAGTAGGCGTGCCAGACATCTAAGCCGCTTTATCTGAAAGCAATTTAGCGAGAAACCTCTCGGAGATGGATCGATCCTGTTACATCGATCTAGGTATGGGAACCCGGTCTTAGGATAACCGCAGTGCACGTGAATGGAACATGATTTAATAGTCTAAGATTGCGAAACTGCTTAACGTTGCTTTAATGCCGTTAACTGTGATATTGGAGATCCGGTCGTTTGAGATATTTTATGCCTTCTATAACTAATGTTGTCAATGATTTAAGGTGCATGTAATTCATTGAGAAGGATGAAAGTTGCAGTTAATCATTGCATCAGGAGACAACAATTCAAATGTTGAGAGTTTGGTTGACAGCAAAAATTAAAAAGAAAAAAATAAAAACAAAGACTTAAAAAAGAAAGTCACACACTCAACATATATTAAATAATTATGTTTTGGGTCGCCCAAAGAATTTGCATTTAACTTGTTCACAGTCCTGCCCCCTCTTAACATCTTTTATCAGAATTCATAAAATCTAAGGTCAAACTCGATTTTTTTTTTATCATTTTTATCAATATTTCATTGTTCTCACCCCAAAACTTTGTCCTTTCTTTAGCGTTTTAACGGCTCGGAGCTGCGTCTCCCCAGTTATTGCGTCGCGCTCAAGGAGCGTCACCATGGCTGAAAAAGGGGGCGATTGAAAATAAATTACAAAAAAAAATTATAATTATAAAAGTGAATCTGTTTAGGAATAGAATATTTACCACCTTTCATACGCACATCTGTTGAAATATCTCAATATCTCCAGATGTACAGAACTACAATTAATACAATAAGTCCATTTCATTAACTGAACTATGTAGTGCATACGGTATGTATTATGGTGGAAAATGAATATCAATATACTAATAATAAGAGAAATATAACATTTACCGTGACCAGAGAGTATGAAATAAAAGTTCTCGGCATAATGTCCTTGTCTTATGATGACACGCTTGGGAGTCACTCTGAAATATACAAATAAAGCTGGAGTTGATCTAAGATTTTGACCACTATATACTGTATATATAAGATTTTAAATCTGGAGATTTAAGATTTTGACCAAAAAAGATGGTCTCGACATTTGAGTATATTCATAACTAACTCACACAGGTATTGAAACGATATTTTCTTCCCGATAACAATAACTTGTGTACAAATGGTTACATTACTAGAATTGCCATTTTAATAATAACGTTTACATGAAATAAGAGACCTCCTACATTATGAAATCATGTGATGGTGGAGGTAGCAAAATGCGATAGTTGAGATTGGGATAATAGTAACAGCACAATCAGACATAGCATAACAAAAAGAATTCTATTTTTCCAGATCCATAACTAGACAGATATAGAACGTCTATAACTAGGTCAAAGGCTACGACACCATTACACAGCGTAATATTTATTCGTCTTGTTTTGAAATCACGAAAAACTTACGTTTGGAAAAAAGCTACTTTGCACAGTTTTTCTTGCATATGAAGTGGATATTCGGCAAAAGATCGCAGATGTTGAAGTCCATATAAAACCTGAAGAACAAAGATAAATATTAAAACATGAATAACACATTCCAAACCACTGAATTTCTTCTCTTCGTCTGCTTGCTAGTTTTTGAGATTTTTTTTATCTTTTAAAGACTTAATTTTTATAACAAGCCGGTTATCGAACGAAGTAAAGCTCTCCAAGAAGTTGTAGAACTTCTTGGATTCTCGTTGTCTCTAATTTATGCTGCTGCTGTATTTCTCAATTTGGCCAAATAAATTAAAACAACTACATCATTTTCAATATTTGCCTCTCTTGAATTGTAATTTTATTTTATTTAATTAATCCATCTATTCATTCATTTCTTTATTCATTTTTTTTTACTTATCTTTTGGATTTATTCGTCTATTTATCAGTTTTGAGCAATGGGTAACTTGGTTTGTGTATATGTTTGGAGAACAGATATTATCAAAAAAATTAACGAGAAGTATCATACCGACTGGACTTGGTCGGGGGTCCTCATGGCTTTGGGAAGGTTTAAAATATATTGCACGTCCTTGCTTATATTGATCTGGAAAAGGATGAAATTTGATTTTAATTAAGTTTTCAGCATCCAGACACGGGTATGGAAATAAGCGTATATGTATACCATAATAGAAAACATTTCATCAAAACGAAATTGGTCATATTTTGTGGCACAGCTTTAAACTTAGTTGTATTGGGCCATTGGAATACGGAGAGGTATCAGGGGTCTGGGTCTTCCAGCAGACGGTCAAATTTTCAAGTTTACATTAAAAGGTATCTTATTTTTTCTGTTGGAAGACGGTCAAAATTGGAGGATAGATCAATAAAGATAATTTGGAAGACTGTCAGAAAATAGCTCTGGATCCGCCCCTGGGTATGTAGAGATAATTAACCAAGTAAAACAACGTACTGTTCCTTTTGAACTGTCACTGGTAAGAATTAGACTGTGAGAATAAAAGTTATACACTTCACTTCATTATTTAGTGATATTATAAACTTTGAGAAAAACGCAATGGCAAGGTAAAGATACATACAAAGAGATTACTTCATTTTCACGGAATGTCCAGAGCTTAGAAAATAAGTATCAACAAGATCGATTCGCTGGAAATGCAAAGGGTAAAAAAAAATTCTCACGTCTTTTTTGGCTTTGAAATCTGCTGGATCAAAATGAACGTCCGAGTTCGCCATCCGCTGGCTGCTCAGCGCCTGGGCAAAGTCGCTGAAACTGGAGGTTTTCTCGGCGCCTTGGGATTCCTCCTCGCCTCTGAAGAACGGAAAATTAGCAAAATATTAAAATAACTAAAAATAACTAACATTTGCATTCAGTATCTGGTAAATGATCAGTTTTCAGTACGTCAGTGATCTATTAAAAAGTAATGGATTATATTGTAAGTATAAATATCTTGCACTGCAAAATGTGCAGATCCTTATTGTAGTCACGAAATTGCACATGTAGGTATTCAAAGAATATTTCAACACGACACTTTCACTGGTAAGCCCCAAGCATCTGTTGTAACAGATGTGAAATCATTTGTGATATTTTTCAACTCAGAACGGAGATTTTCATTTGAAGCCTTATACATGTAAGAACTTATTGTGAAAATGTGGAAGCTTTCAGTCCATTCTTAAGCATGCAGAAATATTTGACTGCAGTGAGAACACTACGTATGGTCACTAGTTAATGACGTCACATATATGTTATGTGACGCCACATATATCATATATGACGTCACATATACCTAAGCAGGGGTCTAGGTCGCAAGTACAACGCTGTTACAGAAGGGAGCACACTTACTTTTCCATGATCGCTGAGATCCATTGCTGTAGATGCAGAATAATCCGGATAGTCCTGCGGAACAGTGACCGACCCTATGAGAGACAAAAATGAGATTAAATGAGCGCATTTGATTAATTAATAGTTTCTAAACCAAAAAGCAAAACAACTGTTGTCTTTCACTTAGTAATGAAAAAAAAAACAAATGTAGAATGCCATAGTTTGGATGCCTTTTGACTTTTTTTTATAAATGATTTTATTGGTCGTTGTATTTGGCAAACCCGTTATTTTACGTATGACCTCTAGTTAGGCCATATTATTACTCTTCGTGATAAATTTCTATTCTCTCGGAATTTCTGTTCTCATAATATAACGCCACGCGCACACACACACACACACACACACACACACACACACACATTGAGTATCTTTGATATAACTCTCCGTCCACAAGAAAGACGTACATCAAACCCTGGTCGTATATTACTCTTGTCTCGGAATGCCTTCACTTCCTTTTGTAACATTTTCTGTTCCTCTAAGGACAGTGTCTTTGGCACTTCTGCAGTCACAATTTTGGGAAGAACAAACGTTTCCTGTCGTCTCACCGGTCCAGATTTTTCCGATCGAAAAGATTTTTTCGAAGAGCGCGTGGAAGTTTGAGTCCCTTGTCGACTCAGTTGACTCACACGACTGTTTTGGCGACTCCCCATCTTTGGGGTATCTAGTAAGACGGGCATTTTGTCGTTGGCGTCTTCTGCGTAGTTGCTTATTAAAGTTGAATTACTGGAGAAACTGGAAGTCCTAGGTCGCAATTCGTTTTCTCTGAAAGAGTTTCGTAGAGATTCACTTAAGTCGTTGTCGTCGTTGTTTACTTCTGGCGTTTGTTGAGAGTATTTCTGATGTCTTCCCGAAACTATAGGAAATCGCGCGCGGCTAAGTCTCGCAGAGCTGGAAGATGGCGTTCGGGTTAAAACGTCTCCATTCTCTGTTACTGTGACAGGTTCCGCGACACGAAGAGATGAAGAGGAAGAACAATCTTCGGCTCTCCTTGTCCTTCCAGAACAGTTGCCTCCATCTTGCTGTTTAGCAGTTTGGTCAGCGGACAAATGTAAGTGGGGTCTGCGCGTTGCTGAGGTGCTGCTATTGTCCCCTTTCAGAACACCTGATGAAGCGGACATTGTTCTTTCGTACGTAAACAACGCTTTTATTCAACTAATGCAATATGAGTTTTCGAGAACAGTACTGTTTTCTCGCTTGAATGTTTATGATATAGACGCTCTCATTGAAAGTTACAGACCTAGAATGCAAAGATCAACACAGGTACATATAGTTATTGTTGACAAATTTAAACGGGTTTCTTTGTGAAAGTTACGTGTAGCATTCGCCTTCGGTTAAGTTACACTAACATTACATTGTGATAGCCTTTCTCGTTTTATTTGTCGAAGATTACATTCCTTTCAAAGGAAATCGTTGGTGAAAAAATCCTAGTTACTTTTCACGGTTCTTTATTAAGAAAATATGTCGATTGGTTTAAAATAAGTTAGGACAGGTGCGCAGACAACTTGTTTTTACTGGTATGGACAAAATACATCAATGAAATTTTAGGTATAACTGTTTTGTTAACTTCAGAAAAAAATCAGCACCTAGTTATTACAATAATAACATCAACCGCCGGCCAAAATCATAGATATTGTACTATTTCCACATGTTTGTCTCTCAATTTATTTTCTGTAGGGAATCGGTTATTGATGCAGCCTCTGCCCGAGGTGAGCAGTCAGCTTACGTTCAAATATTTTTTGTGACAATAATTCCTTCAGGCATTCTGTCTAAAATTAAAATGACGGATCAATGGTTCAAGAAAATATCACATTTTTATTATTTTAGTGTAACATAGCCAAAAAAAACATACTTACAAAAGTCTGATGTCATCTTTTTTTCTGAAAATTTGCCAGTAAAAACAAGTTTTATATTTAACGCACTACGTGGCACTACGAGTCAGACACAGCGTGAGAAATTCTGTAGAGTGCTAAGGTTATTTATCTTTTCAAAATTATTTTCTGTGTAAAAGGGCTATTTGGAAATCAACATTGTAACAAAAATATTGTTTGATTTTCAAAAATATTTACCGATCAAAAAATGAAGGTCAATTTTTGTGAAATCATTTGTCGAATCAAAATATTGCGTTTCAGTACAGGTTTGTCTCTTTTTGGGCCATCTTCTTATTTAAAATATTGGTACAATTTAACTATCCTAATTCTCATTATTATTAATATTATTATTTTTTATATTAATACATGAGGGTTCTTACCTTCTCGTTGTAAACCATCCATTTTCTGTAATCAACAAATATATCAAGGAATTTTAAGAGTTGTGTAGTACAAGATAACAGAATTCTGGGCCCATGACTTGAAGCTTGGAAGTGTCTAGATACCCACTGCTTTGATAAAACATCTTCGCATGTTTCTTTCTTACAGATACACTTCAATTTTGTGTTCCTAGCATGAAGTCCGGTAAAGAAAAAAGGTAAAAAATAAACAACAAGATCGTTATACATGTAGAGGGGATCTAGCCGTGTGTCCGTGTGTCTGGAAAACATGGTCGACAAGCTTTGCTTGGATGATGCCCGATTCGCTCATGTCCGTCGAATCCTGATCACCAACATGACGGCTACAAACTCCCACCAGTTAAATTCTAAATTTCCCTGTGACTTTGGTCAGGTTGTTCGTTCTCTGTTGTCCACCTCAGCAAGTGTCCACCAACAATACATGGCATTAGCTAAATTCCAAACTAAAACAAAACAAAGGCTATATGTAATGATCCCTCATAGAAGACAGCAGCAATAATGAAGACGTTGTTCCTCTTTAGATCGCCAATTTGCAGGATATCTTTTTCAAAGTGTCATCTTGTTATCCCAGCGTTCAGTCACGGATCGATTTTGCCTCTCACATAAATGTATCGCTTCACTGGACGCGTAACGTTTCTCTTCGTAACTTTCTCTCTAAATGAAAGGGTCAGCAGCCAACGGCCTGTAATGTCAGGAACTCTGCTTCAACCCTCTATAGCTGAACTGTGATCTGCATATTTTGTTTCTTTTTACTCGCCATTAATTGTTTTATTCTGTGAGTTGAATTGAGCGTTAAATAATTTCACACGGATAACAAAGAAAAGCAATAATAAGCACAATATGATTTAAATCGCTTTTATGTAAACTCTAACGCGCGTGTGTCATAACTTTACCTCTGGGTTTTAGAAAGGCGTATTTTTCCTAGCAGGGAAAATTAATTCAGCGTGACAAAAAAATCCTGTCAGGTTTTTTAATTATGTTATTGACTCAGGTATCAGTTTCAGCAAAACACACATTATATTTACACTGTATGTCGTGGTAAACGTAACCCCAAGGCATATCTTGAAGACGTGATTATCTCAATCCATCACCCATAAACTATCAATATTTGCCAATTGGGTATCGTATTGAATGGAGCGTATCGGATAGCACACTCTTCACACATATACTCAGGTTTAAACATAACATTCAAGAACCCTGCAATTGTACTGTAACAATTACGAAAATATTGAGTTATAATGTATTATATATCCGCGGTTTATGTGTATGCGGCACTGTCGCCTGGAAGTTTTGCTTGAAACAGCGCGATTTGTGGACGTCTTTTTGCGCCTGGTCGTTTTCATTATGTTTTAGAAAAGCCCCCATGTAAGCGCCATGAAAAATAAACTGCTAAACAAACTTGCTACTGAATATAAGGCAGATTGATTTTTTAATCAAAAATAAATTGTTTGAAAGCATAAGAGGAATGGAATTTTTCAGTCCCTTTTTTATTTGATAATCTATGACTCGACCTTGACATACTAAAATCTTTACCTCCTTTTATTAGAGGAGGAGGGGTGGCAAATTCGAGTGCACTCAGGGAGGTGAATAAAATCAGAGATGGAAATGAATTTTAGGGGCGATCAAAGAAAAAATAATGATCTGGAAGACATTGTTTCGAATGAATGAAGAAGAAGTTTAAATTAGAAATTAACGGAAATAAAGGAAAAAGTGACGAAGCGTGATCAAAATGTTTATCATGGCGTATTTCGCGCCAATGATTCGCCTTTGATTATATTCACGTTCCATAATGAAATGCTTTCAATATCAATACAGAAATGGCTTGATTATGTAACTGAATAAAGGAACAAATCAATAACTAAACAATTTGATAAATAAACAGCTCGATAAGTAAGTAAGTGAGTAAGTAAATGAAGATCAAACGGCAGCGTGGTCGTACATGTAATTTTGAGTTCTAGTAACTCACATTTTTACTTTGAAATATTCCTCAACAGGATAAAAACTTATACATGAATGTATATACCCACTTTACATAGCAAGCCTTGCCCAGTTTCGATAAATATTTTGATAATCCATTTTCCTCTAATTTAAAAGATTCTGCTTATGAATTTTAGTATACATTACCTTCGATAGTCGACCACCTCCCTTGTTTTCTTTATCAGGCTGTGCGGGATTTTCCTCGAGATTTACGTCAGATGGGAGTTCAAGTGAGGGGGAGTTCGTCTGCGTTTTTCTCTTCCGATTCCGGCGTGATATTCGACGCGAGGGGGAGCGAGGGAGTGAAGAATCGGACTCGAACCCAGGGGCATATCTGAAGTTTTCAGGAGCAACACGTACTTTTCCATCTTCTGGTGTGACGAGAGGAAAAACTGAAGAACTGGGATGTTTTATGTCTACATTTTCTTTACTAACCTTCGTGTCTTTAGCTTTAGGGAAGCGTTCCGGTTGAGAGAAATTGTATTTATTTCTCAAAAGTTCTCTTTTATTTCCAAAAGACTTTGATCTATAATTGTTTAAATTACGTATCCTGTCATTTTTACCGAAGTTGTCCCCGGGTCCAAAAGTGGTCGATTTTATCTCCCCGAGGCCAAGTGGCCCCTCTGAATTCAACGCCACCCCAGTAGATTTTTCTCCTGAGAAAGTTGAGCCATGTGTCTGCTTCTCCTCTTCAAATTCTCGTGATTTGGACTTCGATCTGTGCAGCACTAAGCCATTTTCGTTCCGCCTATTTGTACTCGACATTTCTTTGGGTCGCTGTTGTGCGTTTTTACTCCGTGTTGGAATTAGCTCTGGGACGCTAACTTTACTTTTACTCACACCACGTCTCGCAGCAGCGTTCTCACGGTTTTCAAGGAGATTATCATGGCTCGATGTTAACTTTTTGTCCTCGTCCCCCACTTCCACATTTTGCTTAATATACACCATGCGACTTATAGTGTTAAAATTACAACCCTGGTAATGATCAGGATGGGCGTAGTACTCCAGCTGCGTTCCGAGGGGTACCCCGTCTAGGTCGTCGAATTTCCCCTTGGCAAGTTTGTCTCTTTCGTGCTTCTTTAACTGTTCCTCAAAACTGAAGCCGCTCATGATTACGTCGTGTTCAGTGATCCCTGAGAAACTGCGATATAACCTATTTGGAATGGAATACAAGGAATACAATTAACGTTACTACAGATCCCTGTCTATTCACTGACGATTGTGTATCCATTGTAAATTTCAGCTCCCAAGGGGGTGACACTGCAGCGTCCCAACACCCAACAGGAATACAATATATTAATGTTTCTAAAGCGTCCGATCCATTGATCTATGTGTTTCCATTGTTAATGTCAAATCCCAACGGGTTGATTTTCAGTTATTACACAAATAGCGTTTATAATTTATACCACTGAGTAAAGACTAATGAAATGTTAACTTCGTGTTTCCATCGTAAATATTACATCTCAAAGAAGTGTGTCACTCCGTTGTCAAGGAATCTTTAAAACGTAACAATACTGCACGTGCGGGCCGCCCTGGTTCATTTAGACTCAAAAGACATTGTTACACGATATGTTTCCACATTGAATAGATAATATTCTATTGGATCTACATTGACATTTGTGATAAAAGGAAAGACGTTTTGAACTGTAGTTTTGAGGTATCTACAAATGACGAAGTCTCCTGAGTCGTCTTGGTGCATGAATGATGTGCGCTCAAGCAAACACGATCTATAGTTTTGTCGCGTATCCTATGTACAGAGCACCGCGGTCTGATATTGAATCAGCTACAAAAGGAGCCAAATTGGTATATGCGATTATCGTCTGCCAAAATGTACTGATTCACAAGTATCAAATGATTAATCACCAAGAACCCGTCGTTGAGGCGATGTTTATGAGGTTCGAGAATCTTGACCGACTTTGATTGAAAACATTCCTGTATTCTTGAGGCTTTATTTTTTGTCCACATGAGAGATACTCATCCCAAATTTTCAATATTCACAGCAAATTGTCAAAGGGTTGTCATAGCAGCATAATAAAAGAAAGTCCTCCTTGATTTTTCGACGAAGAAATTAATACTGTCACAGTCTATTTCACTGCAGCAGTCATGTTTTATACACGTCTTCATAATTAGCATCCAGCTCTTCTTCAACAGGGCAGTGCAATTTCAGTGCTTAATTATATAACACGCTCAAACTTGCCATTTTCCTGACGCACCTGTCCAGGACAAAAAAATTAATCGATAAGTTCTCCTTCTGTTCCTCTGTAACCCTTTACATAATCTTGTGTAGATAGTTTTGACGATCTCTTTTGTAATCTTCATCTATGTCTCAACTTAGCCCTATGTCGTATGCCGTTTTAAAACTGAGTATAAACGTACGTGCAGTCATCCTTGTTCTGAAACATCGTTCAACTCCCCGTCGCTATTCTTGATGATGCCATGACACTGATCAGGGCTAAAGCTGTTACAACAACGATACAAGAGTGTTTTTCAATATTCTTGTTGCCATGGCGACAAGTTTGGTAACACGACCCCGGGTTACAAAGCGCGTCTGGATCCGCTTTCCTGAGCTTTTAAACATTCGGTGGCTCGTTTTCTTTTTCTAGCGATTTACTGTATCGTCTTGATTTAGACGTAACAACGACTGCGATGTTGCGCAAGTTATTTTCAAAACAACCAGAGTTCCTGCCTAAAAGTTTTAAATCAGATGGACCAGGCTTTCTGTGCATGCTGTAAAACGTCTTTGTTGCTAATAAAATTTTACGGCCAAGCTTGATTTTTATTTGCAGTGGTATTAAGTGCAAATTGATTAAAGCTCTTACAAAGACGCCTTAAGTAGGTTTTATTTTGAAGAAATCCTTTCAAAGTAGTTAAATTTTCATCAGGATGGCTGCAACCCGCGGCTGCTTAGCGATGAAACGACGTTATTTATTAATACTGCTTGCCACAATAAAACACGGTTTAATACGTTTTTCTATAAAAGCGAGATTTCCGCTCATATTTTCGGCGTCTGAATGACAAAGGCCGACCCTGCATCGCTACGCCATTCGATCCTCAGATCATGGTCTAAAAGACCCTCTTTTGAAAGAGAGCGGAGAGCACAGAACCTCCCTACCCATTATGAATGGTAAATATTTACCGATGTACTCTACTCACACTTCAGAGGCTATTTCAAGATCCCGAGTCACGTATCAAAGGCGGACAGGTGTGACCAGGCGACTACTTGATATATATCAAGTCCCTAGGGTTATTTACGGGGGTCTAACATTCGATGAGACGCTCCAAGTATTACAAGATTTGATTAAAGCTTTACTAATAGTTCTTACCTTTCAAAATTCTTTATAACCGATGAATGGGAAACGGGGGGAGGGGGGGGGGGAATCCCTGTGACACATTTATCAATTATGATTACTCATTTTTTTATTTTTGGAGTGGAGGGCGATTTTAAAATACTTGTATGATAGAAGATATCAGACTCGAGACAGTTTCGATTTCTTTGTTTTTATTTCACTTAATCCAGAGAGGAAAACATTGGTTAGTACTACGTAGATCAAAATATTATCGATTTGCGAATCTAACAGTGCTACATGTATCATAGCTGTTCTACCGTACATCGTTTAAAAATATACACGGTTTATAAGGCAAGATAAGGAATATGTGTCAAAATCTAAACAAGAACCTCACAATTGATGAAAAAAGAGAAAAATAAACAATAGGGAATGCATTTGTCTTTGTATATAAAACAACACATTTGTATCGATGCACAGATATACTTGTCCACTGATGTTGAATATCTTCAGTATATTGTGTGGTACACAATTCTTATGCTTATGTGTTAAACATTCAGAATTCTATGTAGAAAGGAGAACACATATTGTCACAAAAAATACTCTATTGCAGAAAATATGCTCTATCACCTTGGCCTATTCAAATTTAAGTGATATTTTGTTTAGTGTTTCTCATTAGCAAAGAAAAAATAATACAAAACAACCATAAATGCATGTCACATGCGATATAAATTGGCAAACATGTAGCTTTTTTAAAAAGTTGAAACTGTACAACAAGTAACATTTTCAGTCTTTTTAAACATACAGAAAAATAAAACATATTTCAAAATCAAGACTTGACAGTTACTGTAAGAGAGCCATTTTATCTTTCACAATAACTGATTAAAAATAATATACTATGTATATAAATATTGTACTAACATTCACTGCATTAACAAACTTTTAAAGACCATATGCAGTGACTGACAATTGTAAAATAATAAAATTGCCAGAACATCTGTAGAAGTTCTGTGGCCCATTTTAAACAGCTGATCACCTAGACATTGACATCCCTTGTAATACAACAGTTTACACAACAGAAATCTTGGAGATTCACCCTCTCAAACATCCTACCATACACCCTACCACCCTGTCATACACTGCATATCCTACAAAACCATGGCACATATCCTACCAATTAAACTATATATATATATATATATATATATCCTGTGAAATTATGTCATACCATACATCTTACAAAACCATTTCAAGGCAAACATCTTATGACAATGTATGGTAAATTTATAGTCAGTATGATTTTCATTCATTACACAACAGCAGAGTTGACAAAAATAATATCAGTACAAATTGAGAAAGTATTTTCATGGCATTTCTGTGTATCTGTAATGATAAATGATATGGCGCAGTCAATGTTAGTACTAATAAGTAGCCCTATGCCAACCGAACGCCAGCACAATTTTCAGCCAGTTCAGTCAAATTTTGTACATTTCTCCAGTTGCTGGCCTTGGATTCTGCTTTGAACCATTAAATTCATAGGCCCCAGTGTCCTTGGCAACAAGAGTAAATTTTTGGTGCAGACTGAGTATTTGAATAAAGTGATACAGTAGTCATTCATATGATATGTTATATGACAAGTTGTGATCCTGTGCTTGATAATTATAAACTATAAAAATCACATCAACTGCTATTCATATTATATGGTAGACTGTAAAACAAAATATTTACTGGCGAATTTCTTGTCAAAAAAATTCTCAAAATATATTTGAAAAGTTTATTTTTCAGATCATAATGAATATAACTATAAGTCCTGCATCTCTCAGAAAAGGACCCATAAAGTACACAAATATATACTACTGATACATAAAACACGAGCACCCAAATTGCTCTTTTGTGTCACATTTGAACATTTGATCAATATCACCAAATAGCAAAAAATATTACATCCTAACTGGTACAGAAAAGCTCTACAATTAGCACCTGTAAACCCACCATGTTTAATCCTTAGAGGAGTTTTAACTTCCAGGGCTTCATCAACGGAGAATATTATACCAATAAGAAAATTGGTAAAAAAAGTTCAACATTACTATAGAGACTTAACACATTTTTAGCAAATTCCATGAGGCATGACACTAAGACATCACAGGGCTTTGATCACATGACTGTCATGTCTGATGTGAGCTCCGTAAGTCGAAAGCATCGTGAATTGCAACCGAGCGCAAGCATGGAGATTCGTCTATATTCCATAACTCGGGATTTACTTGCCCCATATAATAGCCTCGAAATGAAAGGTGATATCCCCATTGCAATTCGCGATGCTTTCGAGTTATGGAGCCCTGATGTGAGCTCTGGAGGTAAATGGGGGAGTGGGGGGGGGGGCTTTATAAGAAAACTGTTATAATATTGTACAGCTCTCATCTACCACTGGCACTGGGGGAAGAACTTCTGCCGGGGGCTCTGTGTAGGCGCCAGCCAGGTATACTCTGAAATTGGAAACATTTGAAAATTTGAAATAATCATTTCATGCACATAATGTAATATTAGATATTATACAGTGCTTTTCCTGGGAGGGTACATAGGCTGTCTAAAATTACCACCTGTAATTTCTTACAAAATTTCAAGGAGTCCAAGTAAGTCTGAAGGCATAATATTTCAAAAAAAAAAAAAATCCATAAGCCATCCAGCCATATTTGAAAATATAGGCCATCCAGAGATGCTGGGGGCCGTCCAAATGACGGCTGGATGGTTCGCTGGGAAAACCCTTGATGTAATATCAACCCAGTGGCTAATTTCATGAAAAGATTTCAGACTGAAAATGGGCTGAAACTTCAAGGTCAAATAAGTAGTTTACTTTTACCCAAAATAAGCTGTGGTCCAATTAAATAAAACATTGTGCTTGTTTAAAAACAGAAAAGATATAACTAATGTCTCAGAATAATACTTTATCTAGGTGAACTGCTGTTAATTTATTTCACAATGGACCAAAATATTTGTTTTAACAAGGCAGCAAAGCTGTCAAATGTACAGACAAAAAGCTGAAAATAACAATGCACAAAATAGGCTACTGTCAATTCTGATACAAAAGTACATTATGCTTAAATGCAAATTCAACATCAAAATTTAATTATGCTCAACAGGTAACACCAATGTAACTAAAATATGAAACAAGCATAAGGCTTCAGGCCCATGAGAGTTCACACTTTGAAAGTGCCAGAATGAGAAAAATGAAAATTTTACACAAAATTGCATAAATTCAATTATAAATGATAACCCAATTGAGCTGGCTTTCTAATTTGAACTGCATGCCAATCCTACAAATCAAACTTGTAAGTTAAAAATAATAATAATAAGTAACACAGTTTCTTTTCATAATGTTAATGTAGCAGTGCATTTTTGTCAATTTTGATGTAACATTACATAATAAATTACAGAATAATTATCACCAATTTTTGATTATTGACTATAAATAGCATGGACATGTAGAAAATTTGGTTTTATGTCCATGGGAGCTCTGAGTCCCACAATGAATGGCAACACGATAAATATGAATATTTCACTAAAATGTATAACTACAATAAAAAGAAGTAAGTTAGACTGCTTTTCCAACTCGGCTGCAATTTAGTCCTGTGTTTCTTTTTTGAAAGTTTGACAATCATAAGTAACATGGTTTACCCATAATGGTCATCATGGCAGCAGCACCCAAAATTGTGTTTTTTTCTATTTTGATGCAATATTACATAATGCTTAACAGCATAAAGACCATCAGTTTTTAATAATAAAATACACGTATCATGGATTTTCAGAAAATGTGACTAGCATGGGTCTTCAAGCCCGTGGAGGTTC